CCCCCCTCTGCCGGTGCCCCTCACTCCCGACCTGCAGCCCCTGCTAGCCCAGCCCTGGGCTCCCTCCAGCTCTGCCGGGGCCCCTCACTTCCGACCCGCAGCCCCCTGCTCGCCCAGCCCTGGGCTCCCCGCTTCCCCCCTCTGCCGGTGCCCCTCACTCCCGACCTGCAGCCCCTGCTAGCCCAGCCCTGGATTCCCACCACACAGCTCTGCTGGTGCCCCTCACTCCCGACCCGCAGCCCCTGGGCTGTGAGAGAGAGCTGGGGCAGGAATAGCAGTGGGGCCCACCCAGCCCAGCACTAACCATTAGGCCATTGGGCTGGCGGGGGGTGAGGGCGATGCAGAATCTCTGAGCCTCTCCTCAGCACCTCCCAGGATCTGATCCACACGGAGCCCCTGCGCCCTCTCTGCTCCCCATCCCCGGGGAGTGCCGAGCTTTAATCACCGGCTCCTCCAAGCATCTCAATGTTTAATCACACCTGCCTGGCGCCCGCTGCAGCGCAGGAGACCTGGAAGGACACCGGGAGCTGGGGTGGCAGGGGGTGGGGGGCCTCAGTGGGTTTTGCATGTTAATGGCAGAGCTTAATATTCATGAGTAAATATTTGCAGGAGCTAATGGCGTGGCGGCCGGGCGGGCAGGCGTAACGAGCGCGCTCCCCCCGCCGGCGCAGGCGGGGAAATGAATATGAATTTATCATGATTAGGTCAATCCAGCAGGGAGCGCGGGGGCTGGCGGAGGGAGGGGGAAGATGGATCTGTGCAATCAAATTAAATAAGGACGCCAAATGGAGCCACTTCTCTTCTCTGCCGCGCGCAGCGGTTCCTCTCGCTCCTTTCCCTCCTCCTGCTTTGCTGATTTCTCTCTTTCCTCAAATTTATGAGGCCAATTATGAAGATGAGGTTGGAAGTTCTCGGAACTTCACTAAATGCAAAGTGTGGTCCCTGCTGTTCCCATCAAATTAATTAACCGAGCGCTATTGATGGCCGTCGACGGCGGCCTCTGGAAACCGGCGCCCGATTTAGCTCCGGGGAAGAGCCTGGCCTGGCAGCTGACCCCAGGGCCTGGCCCAGGCGAGGGGGTTGGAGTGGGGTGTCCTCGGCCCAGAGCCGAGGCGCATTTGGGGAAGGAGGGGCCAGGAATGGGCATTTGCACCCCTGTTCTCAGGGCTGTAGGGAATGCAGACTGAGACGGGCTACCTGCCCCGAGGAGCCTGCAAACAGCAGACCTCTGTGTATCCTGGAGGTCGGGATTCAGGGGTTGTGGCGGGGGGAGCCCAGGGCTGCGGGTCGGGAGTGAGGGGCACCGGCAGAGCGGGGGAGAGACTCCAGGGCTGGGCTGGCAGGGGGCTGCGGGTCGGGACTGAGGGGCCCTGGCAGAGCTGGGGTGGGGGAGCTCAGGGCTGGGCTGGCAGGGGGCTGCGGGTCGGGACTGAGGGGCCCTGGCAGAGCTGGAGTGGGGGAGCCCAGGGCTGGGCTGGCAGGGGCTGCGGGTCGGGACTGAGGGGCCCTGGCAGAGCTGGGGTGGGGGAGCCCAGTGCGGGGCTGGCAGGGGGCTGCGGGTCGGGAGTGAGGGGCACCGGCAGAGCTGGGGTGGGGGAGCCCAGGGCTGGGCTGGCAGGGGGCTGCGGGTCGGGACTGAGGGGCCCCAGTTGATGCTGGTTGGGGCCCAGGACGCAGTCTCAGCCTCTCCTCTGTTTGCCAGGTGCCCGTGGTCTCCGACTGGAGGAAGATGTTACACAATTTCCTGTTCCTGCCCCCTCACCCCACGCTGCTGGTGCCCTACGCCGTCCTGTACGACCGCAACGGCTCCATCCTCTACCTCATGGAGGACAGGGACGTGCACGGTGAGCGCCCGGCAGGGCATGGGGGGGCAGCCGGGGCAGCACGTGGGCACCCGCGGGGCGCCAGGCTGCAGCAGAGAGGTTCCCGCCAGTGTCCCACCAGCACCCCATTAATGGGGGGGGCGGGCGAGCGCTGAGATCCCCAGCACCCCACCCAGGTCAGGCTGGAATAGCCGTGGGGAGGCCCTGGCCTGTCTGCCCCCCGGCAGGGTCAGGCTCTGGTTCTGGGAACGGCTGAGATGCTGGAGAGGCAAGCGAGGGGCTGGGTGCCTAGTGGCTCTCAAAGGCGGGATATGGGCTAGTGGGGCCCCCGGCTCCCAGGAGTGTGGGGCAGGATCCCAGCCGAGTGGCGGTTCTCTGGGCAGCCCCTTTCCTCCGGCAGGTTCCCTAGAGGGCCCTGGGGCTGGTTGGCCCTGCTGGGACGCGGCGGTCCCCGAGTCTAAGCCGTGGGCGCTGGCAGCTCCCTGGTCCCCGTTCTCTGGGACGGTCGCCCTGGCTGGAGTGACCGGGCAGCCTGGGCCTGCAGGGTCCCCGTCGCTGATCTGTCTCCTCTGCCCTACCCAGCGGTGGGGCGGCCGCCCGAGGGGCCCGGCCTGGAGGGAGCTCGAGCCCTGCGGGAGGTGCTGAACTTCCTGCGGTTCTGCAAACGCCACCACTTCCACCCTGGGGACGTCGGCGCGGCCTCCATCTACACGGCCCAGGTGGGGCTCGCTGCTCTCCCACGCCCGCTGGTCTCTGCACAAGGGGCTTTCCACAGCCCGTCCCCCCGCTCCTGCCCCTGCAGCAGGGGGCGCTGCTGTGCTGCAGGGAGGCTCTCTAGGGGGCACTGGGCTGCAGATGGGGGGATTTCCTAGGGGGCGCTGGGCTGTGGGGACGGGCGGGGGCTCCTTAGGGGGCACTGGGCCGCGGGCGGGAGGTCTCTAGGGGGCGCTGTGCTGCGGGGGACTCCCTAGGGGGCGCTGGGCCACGGGTGGGGGGCTCCCTAGGGGGCGCTGGGTCGCGGGCGGGGGGTCTCTAGGAGGCGCTGAGCTGCGGGGGACTCCCTAGGGGGCGCTGGGCCACAGGTGGGGGATCTCTAGGGGGCGCCGGGCTGCGGGGGGGGGCAGGTGGGGGGCTCCCTAGGGAGTGCTGGGCTGCGGGGAATCGCGCGGGGGCCTCAGAGCTATGATCTGTTGCCCAGGGTCCTGGCGGTGGGGCCGGGGTGACTAGGAGAGGGGGGCAGGTTCGCCGGTGGGGTTTCACCTCCTCCCCACACTCCTCTCTTGCCTCCAGGGCGTCTGCTTTGACCCCAGCAGCCTGTCCAGCAGCGAGGACCCCTACGCCTTCCGGAAGAGCATGAGAACCTGCGTGCGCCCGCTGCTGGCCCAGCACCAGGTGAGCCGGGCACGCGGGGTGGGGACCGGTGGGATGGCTCAGGCTGGGGGACGGTCTCCCGAAGGGCCTGGGGGGGGCCTCGGGCAGGGCAGGGGACAGGAGCAGGCGTTGGGGGTGGGCTGAGCTCAGTGACCCCCCCCAGCAGGGCAGAGCGGGGCCCTCCCATGCTGGTAACTCACCCCCCGTCTGGGTCTCCGCAGGGGCTCGCGGGCCTGGACTCCCTGGTGGACAGCATGTGCCAGTACCTGGAGGAAGAGGAGAACCCGGAGCCCGGCGACACGCCGAGCAGGGGCAGCCCCAAGTGAGCGGAGCCCAGGCCCCACGGCTGCCCCCCACCGGAGACGGGCTGCAGAGATGGGCGCGCATCCCTGGGGTGCCTGGAGGCAGAGCGCTGGGATCCAGCCGTGGACGTTGCTGGCAGGGGCGCCACGGGGTGGGTGGGTGCCCAGGTGTGGGGTACCTGGGGGGTTCTTGCAGCAGGCGGGTTCCGCTGTCTTGCTCCCTGGAGAAACAGGCTCATTTGCCAGCCCAGCTCGTTCTGAACAGCCGGGGTGTGGGGGGTGATGTGGCCAAGATCGCCCTGCTCTGGGTTGGGCCGTCGATGAATTCAGCGAGGTGGGAGGAATGACGCGGACAGTGCTGGCCCCTTGCCTGCAGGGGCCCCACAAACCCTGCAGATAGGTCCCGGCTCATCGGCAAGGCCCCCCAGCCCTGGCCAAGGACCCGCGGAACATTCCAGCACCCGTGTTCCCAAAGAAGGCAGGCCTGGGACCCGAGAGTGCTTGGCTCCACCTTTGGCCTTCACCTCCTCTCGTCACCGCGTTGTGCCTCAGTTTCCCCATCCCCGTCCTGGGGGAGGATGCTGCTTTCCTACCTGCGAGGAGCTGAAGGGTTGTGAGGGGGGCTCAGATCCCCCCTGCCAAGTGCCTTCCGGATGCACAGCCCCGCAGGTGGTCCCTGATAATTAGCACGAGGTAACGAGGATCAGGGGAAATGGATGGGCTTGCAGGCCGGCCAGCCGGGGACTTCAGGTACTTCAAGGACTCACTTTTATAACTATGCATCGCAACCTTTGTAATAAGTGTATCCTTCCACAGCAGAAACTAGTCCTTTGACATATATATATTTTGGCTGAACCCTTTGATACCTTCCCTTTGTGTGGAGTGGCCCACCCCGTGAATGGGAACGTCACCGTTCTTCCCGGGGGCACGTTGCACGGTGGTGCCCGCTGCGCTGGGGTTGGTGCCGCCGCGGCGGGGGTTCTCCGGGACATGCGTTTTGCTGGCACTTGTTATTTAAAGGGAGGTGGCTGCGGCTACACTAGGGGGCAGTGGGCGGGGCGTGGGCGAGGTTATCTCCGCCCAGAGCTCCTGGGTGAAATTCACCCCAGTGCCAGGCCCTAGCACAAGCCTGGAACGCCGGCGAAGACCCACGTCAGCCTCTCGCTTTCAGCGGCGCTACATGGAGGGCAGCAGAATCTGGTCCGGTGACACGGGGCCTGAACCGGCCTGCAGGAAATGTCGGTTCTGTCATGACGCCGCTCCGTGCCTCAGTTTCCCTTCCCCACCCTTTGTCTTGTCTGTTTAGCCTGCGAGGGCCAGGGCCCGTATCTCTATAGGGGGCTGGGCAGCGCCTGTCACAATGGGGCCTCGAGCCCTCTGGGAGCCTCTCACGAATACAAAAGAACTCTCCCTAGGTCAGGGTGAGCGGGGCAAGTGGGGAGGGGGCCTGGTTTTGGGACCTGATCTAGAGCGGGGTCCTGCCCCCAGGCCTCTCCAGTCCACTGGGCTGTTTCTGGGCAGCACATGGTGTTGGTTTCCAGCATCGCCCCAGCGAGTGGGGCTTGACCAGTCCCCTCTGCGCGAGAGGCGAGCCGATGCCGAGAGCAAATCCGAACCCCTGAAGGGTTCTCTGATCTCGCAGACACGGGCAGAGCAAGAACCGGGAGCCGAAGCCAGACCCTTCAAAGGGGAAAGAAGACCCACGTTTCTAACGGGGCCGCTCCACCCCTGAACAAACCGCCATGGGACGGGCTGGGTTCAGAGCCTGCCTGCTGCCTTCCTGACAGACGCTTCAGGCAAACATTGGCCATGTACGGGGGAGCTGGGGGAATGTAATGCCCCATGCTGGCCAGGGGCTCAGACTGGATTGTCTAACGGTCCCTTAAACCGTGTGGATCTCTGACTGTTAACGCCCGGCTCGCGGCCAGTGGGAGGGTGTCAGGCACAGGGCCTCCCTCTCGACGGCAGTGCCCTGCCTCTGGGATGTTGTGCAGGCCAGGAGTGTCACAGGGCTCAAAGAAGGATCAGCCAAGTTCCTGGAGGATGGCTCCATGGACGGCTATTAGCCAGAATGGGCAGGGACACAACCCCATGTTCCGGCTGTCCCTGGCCTCTGGCTGCCAGGAGCTGGGAGGGGACTGGGGGGATCTCTCTCAAGCTGCATCACCAGTCACTGTCGGAGGCCGGTTACCGGACGAGATGGTCTGACCCAGTCCGGCAGCCCTTGGGTTTTTAGTACCGGGCCATTAGCCCCACCCCTCTACCCGCTGAGCCCACCCACAGCGGCACGCTGACTGGACGAGAGCTCGTGGGCTCAGGCAGTTCTCCCGGTGGCTAGCACGTGCCCATGGCTTCCCTCCGGGCTCGGGGCACGGCGCACAGGCCCTGGGTGAAGGGGAACTGCTGTTCTCTGGCTGCCTGTTTCTAGCCACCTGATTCAAAGCCCAGTGACGAGAGAGACCCCACCCCCCGGGTACAGTGAGCAGGGCATTGGGCACTGGCTGGGGCTTGCAAAGCTGCCCGTCTTCCCATGGGTTTTGGCACCTAATTCTCCAAGTCCGGTTAGCCGCCGGGGGAGGTGTCCCGGCCCATCGATCAGTGTCTGTCTCTCACAGCATTTCCCAATTTTGCTTTTCTTTCCCGGCTCAAACTCGGCCCCGGTGATCAATGTTTTCTCATTTCGCTGGCAAGCGGCACAAACAGAAGCATTTACAAACCCGCTGTCTTTCCAGCAGGGCCATAACTCAGACCTCAGCCAGTCCGGGAAATGGAGGCCGGCTGCTCCAGCAGCAATATTTCCGGCTCATGGTAAATGTGTTACTTGGGGATAATTTACCTGCCCACGCCAAGTTTGGAAAAGAAATAGTCCAGCTTCTAGAAATTGCCCGTGTGTGCATGGCTGAGTGTCTGGCGTCTGTGTCTGTAGGCGCATGGAGCCACCCCACTAAAAATCCAGAACTAGACCCCGATGGCTGGGCCCGGTTGCTAGAGGAAGGAGGAAGAACACCACAGCAACAGCTGTGAGCGATTCTGCCCCCGTCTGGCTCTCGTCCTGGTCTCTGCTCGTAACCCCGCAAGCAGGAGGTTAACCTGTTTCTTTCCATCGCCTGGATTTTGTGCCTGGGACTGGCCGGTTATTGAAACATATTTAGAGCAACTGCTGCAAATCCCATGGCACCGCCTGGCTTCCTACCAGGAACAGCCATACGCTCCCACTCAGCGTGTGTATTAAAACCGAAAGCGAGGAGAGTCCGGCCCCTCGTCTGCCCCAACCACCATGTTAATAAAGGGTTAATGGGTCCCACGGGGGCCGTCGCTGAGCCGCAAAGAGCCGGAGCCGTTGTGTCTTTCTCGGCACTGGGCTGGCGCTCGGCCGTGGCCGAGTTCACGCCGTGCACTGGGTCTCCAGTGCATGTGCCCCAACCCGCTCCCACACCTGGCCCTCTGAGCCTCGATATGCACCCACCTCGCTGAGCCCCGCTGCCCACCGGTGCAGTGGGACTGTTTAGCACCCCGAGCAGGGAGAGCGGGGGAGGCCGGGCAGCCGTGCCCGTCGGGCAAGGTGCTGGCCTAGCGCCGTTGCCATGAGATCTGGGCTGGAAACAAGGCACCAGTTTTGAACAGTGAGTGTGAGGGCAATTAACCACGCGACGATCTACCACGGGCATGGTGGAATCGCCAGCATGGGCACATTTTAAATCTGGATTGGCTGTTTTCTAAGATCTGCTCTAGGGATTTGGGGAGCAGGCCCATGGCCGGTGCCGTGCTGGGCTCCCTGATGGCAAAGGGCCCATCTTTGGCGCCTGTGCGTCTAGCACCATTCCTGCCGGCTCCGGGGTCACTCCGTAAAAAGGACGCAGCGTGGGGCTTCAGCCACCCACTTGTCGCGATGGTGGTTCCCGCGTTTCCCTTGGGAGCTGAGGCCACAGCCTATCAGGCCTCACCAGGTGTTTTCCAAGAGCAGATCGCCTGTTAATCCCACCCCCGTGGCCCCCCGGAGCACCTTGGGGTGCACATCCGGCACTGCCCTCACGCTGGGGCACCAGCCATGCTAGAAAACAAGCTTGGGCTGCGATCTGGTTCAACGCTGGTCCTTGGTGGAGCTCTGGGGGGGGCGCCAGGCAGCTGCCTCTACGAGGCTCGGGGCTGTAGATTTCACTCTGTCCCCTCTTGCCCCTTCCTTGTGTTCGGTTGCTCTTTTCTGGCTCCGTCACGGAGGTGCTTGGAGCTGTACGACGTGCTCCCAGCGTGGGCAGAGCAGTGCTGCCTCTTCATCCGCTGCCCGGAATTACTGACCTTTTTCGTTTACTGCCTTATTAGCTTGTGGTTTTAACGCCACCGCTGGGCACGGTGCCTTCCAGCCCCCACACGCAGGCCCTGCCCTGAGGCATTTACCAGGGGCGTGAGAGAGGAGGCTTGTAAAATACTCACAGGAGGGAAAGAAGCAACTCCCCGTCACCCAGCCCCAGCATATGCATCCAAGGGGGAGCAGCCCCATGAAATGGAAAGGCAGCATTGGAAAGGAAATGCTTTCTTAGCTCTACAATGGGTCATTAACCTGTGGACCTCATGGCTCTTGTCCTTGCTGAGAGCTGGTGGCAAAGTGGGATTCAGATCAGAACCGGGCACTTGGCTGGGTACGAAGAGATTACACGAAAGAGGATCAAAACGTAGCTGAGTGGTGATTAACCCTCCCCACTCGGCCACGCGCACCGTGCCTGGGTTCAGGCCGTTATTCTTAGACGGGCTGGTTATTTCAGGTCTGTCCATTCTAGAGGTTCTTGCGCCTTTGTCTGAAGCATCCGGTGCCAGCCGCCGTTGGAGCCAGGAGACCTGACAGGAGCGGTGGCAGGTCTGATGCTTTCCGGTGAGTCCTCTGTCCCTAAAACAAAACGTGTGTTTTTCAGCCGCAGAATTCAGCCCATCAGCTTTCTGCGGCATTGAGTTCCACAGGGCCAGGGCCAGGGCCAGGGCCAGGGCCAGCCAGATACCGGAACATTTCCATGGTTCTGATGCTCAATTTCCTGCCTTTTACTTTCAAATACCCCTTTGATCTGCTCTTCTGAGGTAGGGCCGAAAAAGGGGACGGCTCAGTTTTCCTTCGATTGTCCTCATTGAGTTTGATGAATAAAATATGTTTTTAAAAGCCCCTGCCCCGCCTCATGCTCTGGGGTCATTGTCACCCGTGGCGTGCTCGTTAGCTGCTGTGAACGTCGGGCTCACCTGGGAGGTACCTGGGACTGCGTTGTGCAGGGGAGTCGCTGGGCATGGAGCGCTGGACCCTTCTCCCACCCCCTCCCTGTAGCGTAATGGTCTGGCATGGGCCGGTTAACACACACACACACACACACACACACACACACACAGCCTGGCCCGAGGACTTGGTGAGAAACAAGTGTGCAAAAGCTCAGGGCCCGATTCGCCATCATCCTGCACTTTGCGGAGTCACGCGTGCGAAGGGACTGAGAGTTGCAGCCGTTCTGGCTAGCTGGCATGGCCTGCCCGCTTTCTCCTGGCATCAGTGAGCGCCCACGGTACAGGGCAGCAGAGAATGAGGGTCCCCATGCCAGCTGCACGGCACCTCCCCGCCCTGGGCAGCTCATCGGGTGACACCCTAGGCTGGTCTCCACCCACAGGCTGAGGAGACAATTGGGTCACTGGACGCACCCAGCCAGGGTGGTGCCCGAGGGGGGCAGCGTTCTAGACGGCACCTCATTACCCACGAGGGACCCCACGGCAGGGACAGCTGGTACAGCCGGGTCCAGGGCCCTGCTGTAGGACTTGGGCAGCAGCGGCTGGTTGCTGGCAGCAGAGGGAGCTGGAGGACCAGACAATGGAGAAGCCCATG